GCTTGCCCAAGGTCATACAGCAGCTGCAAGTGGAGGAGTGGGGAATCAAACCCGGTTCTCCCAGATTAGAGCCCGCGCACTTAACCACTACACCAAACTGGGAGAGGGGGGGATTTCGCTGCTTGAAGTTCAGGGAAGGCATGCAGACGGCAGCCACCCCTCTCCCTCACCTCCTGAAACATTTAAAGGGCCCACTGATCAGCTGGAGGGCCCTTTAAATCTTGGAGGAGGGGAGGGAGGAGGTGGCTGCAAGATTTAAAGGGCCCTCCAGCTGATCAGCGGGCCACATGCTCTGCCAATCAGCTGGAGGGCCCTTTTAATGTCACAGGAGGGGAGGGGTAGAGGGGTAGCAGATGTTGTGAGGCATGCCTCACATTTGAGGGGGCAGAGCCCCGGAATGCCCTGCCATAGCTATGGGCCTGGCTAGAATCTTGCTGGGGGGTGGGATTACAAGGAAGCCAAGATTCTTAGGAAGCTGAACGGTAGCACATTCTGTGTGTGACGCCTTGCCCCCAATAGAATATGCATTATCCTATCAATAGCAGCCTGCAAAGAAAAATGAGGACATATGGAGAGGGGGTGTGGATCATGAATTGTGTGGATAAGCCCTCCAATAAGGCGGCAGCTGCCCCGTTCTCTTTCCACCTAGTCTCAGTGTAAACAGGGGGGGAACCAAAGCCAGTGACACCACCAAAGTCCAGCATGCAAAATTGTGCAATATGGCTTAGACCAAGGGTGTCAAACATGTGGCCCGGGGGCCGGATCAGGCCCCCGGAGGGCTTTCATCAGGCCCGCAGTGGAACTGGCCATCTCCTGCTTCCAGTTCTGCTGCTGCAGCTGCAGCATCGTAGCCTGCTTCGCCAGACTCTCTCAATCGCTCAGCCATTTCATGTTTTAACCTGGGTCCTAGACTCAGAACTCTGAGCATGAGATTTCTGTGGTGAATGTCAATAAATCAAAAGTAGGTTTGCAGCTTATAGAGTTAACGTTTTAAGCATGTTTTTATTTTAAGTAAAAAAAAATCTTTGTGTTTGTGTCCTTTATAAAGTTTATATCTCTGCTACCTGGCATGACATTTTATGGCACCCATGGCCTGGCCCAACAAGGTCTCATTTATGTCAGATCCGGCCCTCATAACAAATGAGTTCGACACCCCTGGCTTAGACTGTCCTAAGAGAAAGCAGAAAAGAAGAGACCGAAGACCAGAAGGGAATCCGTCCCCCACCCCAGAAGAGACAGAAGTCGGTTCACTATGACCTGCAATAGCCGCCACTCAGGCCAGGATTATCACCCGTTCCACCAACATAAGACTTTTTAAACGCCTCAAAACGTACCTATTATTACAGGGAGCCAAGGGCTGTTGCCCCACACGCCCAAATACACCATCCCAAAAGAAAGACATGTTTTACGTGACCTTCCCACGGCAAATCTGGCACCTGTTAATTACCTTTGGGCCCCTTAAAACCACTTGAGCTGCGGTGGCTCAAGTGGTTAAGACACTGAACTGCAGGCTGTGGAAGGTCAGTAGTTCAGCAGTTCAAGACCCGAGTTGCCGCATAATGGAGTGAGCTCCCGTCTCTAGTTCCAGCTCCTGCCAACCTAGCAGTTCGAAAGCAAGAAATTGCAAGTAGATAAATAGGTACCACTTCGGTGGGAAGGTAACAGCATTCCGAGCGCCTTGGTGTTTAGTCATGCCAGCAACATGACCACGGAAACGTCTTCGGACAGCGCTGGCTCTTCGGCTTCAAAACAGAGATGAGCACCGCAACCCTAGAGTCGGACTCGACTGGCTTTCAAGCAAGGGAACCTTTACCTTTTACCCTTAAAATATCTCGACAGCTCTGGCTTGATCGAAAAGAAGTCCCCCCCCCCGTTTCAGAATCGGCAGTTTAGTCTTCGGAAAGAGCTGTGCTTGGTGGCTCCAACCCGCCTGGATATTTTCCAGATAGCCCTCCAATTCGAGATGGAGGCGGAATAGGCCGCCTGTTGCTAATCAGCGGCAAAGGAAATTAACTTTCCACAGACTCAGGCTATCTAATTAGAGCCACATCACTCTTTGATGTGTGCGGTGTGTGTGTGTCTGCCAAGGCCGGAGGACTGGAGGTGGGGGGGGGGCTGAATGGAAGGGTCATTTCCAATATGGGAGCCCTTTGCCTTTATCCCAGAACTGTGAGTGCTGGGGGGCAGTTACTGGAGGGAAATCCACTCTGCACGTGTTCAGGAGCCCTTTTTCTCCACGAGCTGTGGTTGGAACCAGACCCTGCCTTTCCCCCACTTCTTCCAAATCCTGAAAATCTTTTTAAAGGCAAGCGTCTAAGTTGTCACCACCTGTGGAGGTCACGTACAGAAGAGGGGACCCCACAAAGGAGGAGAAATTCCAGCTCCCCTTGCCGACCCACACCCCTTATTTCTCCCACCGCCCTGACTTGTGCGGCACTTCTCTTTACGACATCTAAGCATCTGCAGAAATTGAACTTAAGTTGGGGGGGGGAGGCAGTAACCCCAACGTATTTTAACAAATTGGGTTTCCCTGCAACCCCCTAAGATTTGAAGAATGCTAATAAATTCTAGCTGTGCTGAAGGTTCTGGGGACCGGCACAGTTACCAGTCAATGATTATCAGATTTATCGGGAAGAAGACAGAAACCGGGCAGGTCAAGAGACCTTTCTACACCCGAAGGAAAATAAAAGCAACCCCTTCTCTCCATCTCCAGCCTTTGCTTGACAGACTATTTTGAAACACACACAGATGTCCGAGGACAGAAAAATATCTCCCATCCAGAATATGAGGCAGAAATACTTATTTGCCCCTTTATTTACATCATTCTCTGCTCGTAATTGAAGCAACTCAGTTTGCAAGGCCTGAGCAAGTCTGTTAACGGCAGGATGTTTCCGGAGGACACGAAATCAGAGGGTCACCATAAGTCAGAAGCAGCCTGACAACACTTCTCTCTCTCTCACACACACACACTGAGAGTAATAAAAAAGTAAACACAACAGCTATCACAGTATGGCAAGTTCAGTAAAACTACTTTTAATAATGTCTGCTTGGGGGGTGGATGCATTAAGATGACAGTATTTTAGGAATTCTTTTAAAATCTTGATTATTGTGCCCCTTCTAGGCTGAGCATGGCCATTTACTTCCCACAAGAATCTCAGCAACCAGGGAGAGACATGGGCCATGGTTCCACCCTTCTCTAGGGAAGGCCCTCGGGAGGCATGGTGCCACCAGTTAAGGCCCTGCACCTCTCAGAATGGGGCACAGAGCCCCACTGCATGCATGTAAGGGCCAAGGCGCCACGCTGCTCACATGAAGCTGCCGTATCCACGTGTCAGACAGATCCTTGGTTCATCTAGCACTGCCTGCTCAGATAGGCACCACACCTTAAAAAGGATATTATAGCTTTGGGAAAAGTGCAGAAAAGGGCAACTCGAATGATAAAAGGGTTGGAACACCTAAGCAGGTTAAAGCGCTTAGGGCTCTTTAGCTTGGAGAAAAGACGACTGAGGGGTGACATGACTGAGGTATACAAGATTATGCATGGGAAAGAACAGGTAGAGAAAGAGGTACTTTTCTCCCTTTCTCACAATACAAGAACTTGTGGGCACTCCATGAAATTGCTGAACAGTCGGGTTAGAACGGATAAAAGGAAGTACTTCTTCACCCAAAGAGCGATTAACACTTGGAATTCCCTGCCACAGGAAGTGGTGGCGGCTACAAGCATGGGCGGCTTCAAAAGGGAATTAGATAAGCATATGGAGCAGAGGTCCATCAGTGGCTATTAGCCACAAGGTATAGATAGGGACTCTGGGGCAAGTGATGCTCTGTCTTCTTGGTGCTTGGGGGGGTCAACAGGGGGAGGGCTTCTAATGTCCTGGCCCCACTGGTGGACCTCCTGATGGCACCTGGTATTTCTGGCCACTGTGTGATAACAGAGTGTTGGGCTGGATGGGCCTTTGGCCTGATCCAACATTGGCGTCTCTCTTATGTTCTTATGTTCTCCAGGGTCTCAGGCAGAGAGAGATTTTTTTCAGCACCTGACATCCTTTCCAATGTAAATGATTAAAATGTGCCAAGTGTATATTCCAATTCTAGGTTAAAGAGCCCCCTGAAAGCAGCCTTTTGCAAACACTAACTTAGAGAGAGAAGGCATTTTTAGCTTTTTAAAACCAGGCCATGAACATATGAAGCTACTTCACTGGAGTCAGACCACTGGTCTACTACGGCCAGGATCATCTACCCCAACTGGCAGCAGCTCTTCAGGATCTCTGGCAAAGGTTGCCCCAGCGCTGAAGACACCGTGGACCGAACCCGAATTCTTCTGCATTGTGCTGCACACAATCTACCCCACAGAATCACAGCCCTTTCATCAAAGCTTTAGAGGTCATGGACATCGCCTTGACCCAAACCTAGGGAAAAAATGGGCAATCAGAACAGCCAACAGTGAAATGGGGCAACACCTAAGCCAGCCACGGCCCTATCCAAAGGCTCAACGGGCAGGTCCCGCTTCTCCAAAAACTACACATGTGCGCATGCAGCCCAGCTACTCAGCCCATAAAGGTAAAGGTTCCTGTGCTCGAAAGCCAGTCGAATCCGACTCTAGGGTTGCGGTGCTCATCTCCGTTTCAAAGCCAAAGAGCCAGCGCTGTCCGAAGACGTTTCCGTGGTCATGTGGCCGGCATGACTAAACACCGAGGCGCACGGAACGCTGTTACCTTCCCACCGAAGCGGTACCTATTTATCTACTTGCAATGTCTTGCTTTCGAACTGCTAGGTTGGCAGGAGCTGGAAGTAGAGACGGGAGCTCACTCCGTCATGTGGCACACTCGGGTCTTGAACTGCTGAACTACCGACCTTCCACAGCCTGCAGTTCAGCGTCTTAACCACTTGAGCCACCGCAGCCCATACAGTATCACAGTTTCATACCCAAGGTGCCACAAGCCTCCAGTCCTCAGCGAGGAAGCAAAAACAGTATTCCAAATACGAGCAGCCTCCAGTACTTCAACCTGCTCCCCATCAGCCTTGATCTGCCCCCAAGATGAAGAGACCATCCCAGTGGTAAGGTATACAAATGCCGCCATCTTAGAAGGGGCTTTGAGGCCTTCGAAGCTGAAAAGCGACCAGTCGACGCACCAAATTAAACAAGGAGAGAATGAAAGGATGGAGAAGAAAGTAGCGTTCTGTGGAGACGAACGCTTAGCTTTACGGGACAGTGCTGGGGCTCAGCGACCTGGCCACCCTGCTCCCCAAGGCGTGCTGTGGGGTGGCCAGAGCCAAGCGCTTTGCCCATGTTCAGAGGCTCAGTGCACGGCAGGGCTAGCAAACCGCAGGCGTAAAAGCCAACGAGCCAGTTAGCCAAGCCCAAGTGACAGGGTTACCAGGTCTGCCCTGGCCAATGGCAGGGTCAGGGGGCATAGGGTTGCCGGATCCAGGTTGGGGAAGTCCTAGAGATTTGGGGATGGTGCCTGGGGAGGACAGGGATCCCAGTGGGGTACAGGGCCACACCCTTCCAAGCATCCATTTTCTCCAGGGGAACTGATCTCTGTACTCTGGAGAAGAGCAGAGGAAAAGAGCAAGTCCAGTAGCACCTTAGAGACCAAAAAAAAATAAAATTGTGGCACTTTCTTCAAACTGAGCGGCAACTGACTAAAGTGCATAGGTAAAGGTAAAGGTTCCCTTGCTCGAAAGCCAGTCGAGTCTGACTCTAGGGTTGCGGTGCTCATCTCTGTTTCAAAGCCGAAGAGCCAGCGCTGTCCGAAGACGTTTCCGTGGTCATGTGGCCGGCATGACTAAACACCAAGGCGCACGGAACGCTGTGACCTTCCCACCGAAGTGGTACCTATTTATCTACTTGCAATTTCTTGCTTTCGAATTGCTAGGTTGGCAGGAGCTGGAATTAGAGATGGGAAGCTCACTCCATCATGCAGCAACTCGGGTCTCGAACTGCTGAACTACTGACCTTCCACAGCCTGCAGTTCAGCGTCTTAACCACTTGAGCCACCGCAGTATACCCTGCCACAAGTTGTGTTAGTCGTTTCAGGTGCTTCTGAACCTTTGCTGTTTTAAGAACACAAGCGAAGCCCTGCTGGATCAGGCCAATGGCCCATCCAGCCCAACACTCTGTGTCACCCAGTGGCCAAAAAGCAGGTACCATCAGGAGGTTCACCAGTGGGGGCCAGACCTCCAGAAGCCTTCCACTGTTACCCCCAGAGCACCAAGAATACAGCACATCACTGCCCCAGACATAAGAGAGAAGCCCTGTTGGATCAGGCCAGTGGCCCATCCAGTCCAACACTCTGTGTCACACAGTGGCCCAAACCCAGGTGCCATCAGGAGGTCCAGCAGCAGGGCCAGAACTTCAGAAGACCCCCCCCCAGCAAGAATACAGAGCACCACCGCCCCAGACAAAGTGTTCCCTCTGTCGTTTGAGGCTAACAGCCAATATGATGCTCTACTGCTGCAGACAAACAGGGCTCCCCATCT